GGGCTAGCCTCCCACTAGTTCGAATTAAGTGGCTACACAGCCCTTAATTCGAACTACTTAATTCGAACTAGGCATTACTCCTCGTAGAATGAGGTTTACCTAGTTCGAATTAAGTTCAAACTAGCGGTTTGCCTGTGTAGCGCCTTTGAAAATTAATTCGAACTAACGGCTGTTAGTTCGAATTAACTTTGTAGTGTAGACATGCCCTAAGGGATTTAGCCACATGACTCCCATAAAAATTCATGCAGATTGAATGCTAAATCCTTTGATAGTCTATCTACTCAGCACAGAAGCCTGTGAGGCACAAGTATATTTAAGGTCAGCCTTTGTTCCAGGAAACCTAGGGTTTGTCTTCCCTTAAGTTGAAGGTACAGGTTGTACCTCTCTTAAGCAGGCCTCTCTGGTCCAGCAACATCCATGGTCTGGCAGGACCACAGATGTTCCTGGACCATAGAGTCCAGGTATAGGGAGGTCTGGCCATGGAGCAGGAGTGCAGTGGGGTGGGGGGGAAGGCGGTGGCTCAGCCAGGAGCTCTGTATGTGTGTGTGGTGGGGGGGCGGGGGGAAGGGCTCAGCTGGGCAGTAGCAGGGGGCTTGCAGCAGCTGCACAGCTCTCGTCCCGGTGCCAGTCAGGAAGCTCCAGCCCTGGCTGCATAGCTCCAGTCCCAGCAGTGGCCAGGCAGCTCTAGCTCTGTCCACACTGCTCCAGTTCCTGCCATGCAGCTGCAGCCCTGGTGGTAGACAGGGAGCTCTGGCCCTTGCCATGCAACTTCAGCCCCAGCAGCAGCAAGGCCAGCAGGAGCTGGAGAGTTCCAGCCCAGGGAGCAACCAGGCAGCAATGGGGTGGGCTGGAGCCCTAGCAGCAGATGCAGTGGGGAGGGGAGAGCAGCGGTTTAGCACAGGTCAGGAGAAGAGCCTCGGGTCCAGCAAAACCCTTTGTTTGGGACCAGTCAGGTCCTGAGGGTGCCAGACCAGGGAGGTCCAACCTGTATAGCTTCCAGTTAGAGGAAATGTTAGACATTAGCATTAATTCAGATTGAGCTAGTGTGCTAAAAATAGTAGAGTAGCTGAGGCAGGATGAGCTAGCTGCCCTGTATAAGATCCCATGTGAAACCATAAGAATCTACTTGGCTACTAGTCCCTTTCACTGCGATAGCAACATACAAATTTCATTCAACAGGTAATTAGACTGTGGAACTCACTGGCACAGGATAACATTGAAGCCAAGAATTCACTGAGATTCAAAGAAGGAATGGATGTTTATGTGGATGAAAAGAATGTCCGGCTAAGGTTCAGGCAGTCATTTAAATACCCTGTGCTTCAGGGTTTAAACCAATCTAACTATTAGGGCAGGGGTGAGGAAACTGAGGCCCGGGGGCTGGATGTGACCCCCTCGGCTTGCCTGGATCCGGCCCCCGAGGCTCAGGAACCCCCCAGCATTGGGAAGGGGCTGAAGCATACGAAATCTATTAGCCTGCACCCCACCCCCACCCCCACCCCTAGGGTGTGGTGTGCGAGGCAAGTGTCTTTTTCCTTCTCAGTCAGGGGCCACATCAACTTCTCACTTTTCTTTTGTGCAAATATTCTGCATTATTCACTTAAAATTAAAGTTTCCCATAAATAGCCTTGCCAATGTGACCCACTGCAGAAAGTGACCGCAAAAAGGATGTGAAAAGAGTCAAAGCAAAATGGGTTAAAAATTCAGTTAGCTACACAGGCAGTTTTTCAGGCATAACTCATCAGTACAGCCTCAACACTGTACAGATTAATCACGTGTTTAACTTTCCACATGGAGAGTAGTCTTAAGGTCTATCTACACTATCGTTAAAAAGCTGTGATTGGCCAGTGCAGGGCTGTTTCATTTCAGTGTAGGCTTCTGGACTTGGACTACATCCCAGGATCTGGGACTCTCCCACCTCACAGGGTCTTAAGGGCACGTCTACACTACAGAACAAAACGAAACAACCCCCTTGGTAACAAGTCTTAAAGGACGTGTCAGGTGGTTCAGGTTTGCACTCCATGGCTAACATTAGTAGTGTAGTCCGGGCTCTGGAACCTTCCTCCTAACCAGATCTCAGAACCCAGGCTTTGGTGTGAGCCTGAATGTCAACGCTGCTGTTTTTAGCCTTGTAGGGCACGCCTGAATCAGCTAACCTGCGCTCTGAGACTCCCTCCTGCATCTGCTAGTTTTTTCTTAACTCTGCTGAGTAATGCTTTGTCTCCTCTACAGGGAGTGTAAACTCTTCATTGTTTGTATTACTGTACTGCTCACCAGTCCCAGCAGGGTTCCCTCTATGCACAGCTTCACAGGGGATTAATCAGCCCTGTCCACTCAGAGGCTCAGTGCTCAAGTGCATGGAGGTGACTGGGCGGGGCTGATTAATCACCTGTGAAGCTGTGCTGCCCCACAGCTTAGAGGGAACACTGGTCCCCAGTCATGGACCAAAGTACCCTCGTATAATAATAATAATATGGCCTCTGTCCACTGAGCTTTTAATCTAAGCATACAACAATAGATAGATACAGGCACATGTTGGAGCGCAAGGAAACAGTGAGATAGTGTTTGTCAGTAAGACAGGCAATGATCACAAAACCCCGGCAGGTACCAAGTTTATTGTCGGCATCATGGCAAAGGAGAATTTTCAGGAGGGATTTGAAAGTGGTTGAGGTTGGTAGCTGTGCAAATGTTTCTGACCCCCCACATACGAGTGGCAAAATAGGAGAAAGCACAAAGACGTGTGTTCGACAGTTTAACGAGTGATGGAGGCTGGAATGATGGGCCAATTGGAGATGAACATCAACAGCTTGGCAGTGAATGAGAGATGAGAAGTAGGGTGTGGATTGACCTTTGGGTGTCTTGATAGTGAAGACAGTTAACTTTATGCTCGATACAAAGAAATGGGGAATCTAGTTGAGGGATTGAAGGTAATGGATTGACTATGGTCAAAATGATGGCTTAGGACTATGTTTTTCAACCTTTTTCCATTTGTGGATCCTAAACAATGTTGTTTATCGGAACCAGACCCCTTTGGAAATCTTAGGTAGCATCTGCAGACCCTGAAGGGTCCACATACCACAGGTTGCAAATCACTGAGCTAAGAAAATGATCTTTGCAGCAGCATTCTGAATGGGGTATGGTGGAGCAAGATTGCATTTGTCATGGGCCAAGGATGGGATGTATTAGTAATCAGGATACAAGATGATGAGAGCTTGGATGAAAGTTTAGCTTGTGGATTGATAGGAACGAATGGCCATATCTTAGAGATGCTATATCTGTGTAATTTAGATGCGTCTTGGATGCGAGGACCTAAAGAAGAGAGGTCTGAGCTGAAGATAACACAGTGGCTATGATGCTGAGAGATAGGCAGGCAGGCCGGTGGAGTTATCCACAGGGCTTGAGAAATGTAGTAAAGAGGTGGCTTGGTGGTGGTGGTGGTGAGTTATTTTTAGCCATTTTGAGCTTGGGTTTGGGACTCTCTTCTCCTCTGTGTTTATATTGTGTCTGGCACAATGGAGCCCTGATCTCAGAGGGTATACCAGCACTGCTAGCCTACAAATAATGAACAATAATTATTATTTGGGGTTCACGTTTGTATAAATCAAGGCAATGCTCTCTAAATCTGAATGCATTTGAAAAGAACAACAATCAAGCAGAAGAAGCTCAATTTAATAAAAAGAAAAACAAATCTCTTGGTCTTTGCAGGTGACTACCAGAATGGAAGAAGAAACAGCTTCTCTGTGTATCTGGGAGAATATTTTGACATTCACTTGGCTTTAGATGGAACTGTGACCCAGGGGGACAAAAGGTAGGCAGTGCAAAAGTGAATGAGGTGAGCTAGAAAGTGTGGTTTTCGTGTTGTTTTTGGCATCACATCCTGAGCAATTTTTATTTTTCTTAACAGGGTTTCCGTACCCTTTGCCTCCCAGGGGATATTTGTAGAGACCCAGGCAGGTTATTATAAGATATCCAGTGAGGACCATGGCTTTATGGTGAAGATTGACAGCAGTGGGAATATTCAAATACTGTTTGCAGACAAGCACTATAATAAAACGTGTGGCCTTTGTGGCAACTTCAATAAGTTTGCCGAAGATGACTTCACAACACAGGAAGGTGAGGTTCAAAATATTAACTATATATTTTTTAAATGTACATTCCAGTAGCATTTTTCTTGAGTGCTGATTCCACAACAGAACCTGAATCTCAGTGATTTAGCAATGAGTTTTCTTCACAAAACCTTGTCATGGTATCACATTCTGATATGACAGCAAAATATGTGACTGCATTCTTTAGTCTCCCCCTTCCCTTAATGTTTATCCCCGAGGAAACCCGAGGGCCTTAGGGATCCTGTTTTTACCAACTTTCATTCTAGAAGTTTCCACACATGAGGTAATTGGGATTAGGAATGACGTTTAAATAATGTTAAATAGAAATGACAAAATGTGTGTCATGATGAAACATCTCTATAACAGAATGAACATTCAGTGATCCTTTGGGGTCTTCTAAGGTAAGTAGCATGCTTCCCTCAGGGGGCATGTTCTCCACACCAAGGCCTGGTCTTTTGGCCCATACATAAATGTGTTTTAAGTATGGAATAGGAACTCCTGGGTTAATGCTGACAGCTTCTCTTTGTGGGCTTAAAAGCAAATAATGCTACATAGAACAGCTGGCTCTGACACACAACTGCCTTGCCAAAGACATCTCCCTCAATCTGCAGAGGCCTGTTTGTGATTCTGAGGTTATGTGGAGTGTGTCTGTGTGTGCAGAGAGCAGGAATAATATTACTTTGGCTCCTCTCCATCCTATATATATTTATACATACTAGCCTTTTGTGGTTAAGCCTACAAGTGTAAGGATGGACTTAGTTTGACTCTGAAAGGCAATCCCTGTGTAACTGCCACCAGATAGATTTGAACCTGGGAGCTCAGTGTAGGAGTCTCTACAGCAGTGCTTCTTAAACTTTTTAAGACCAAGGAAAAAAACCAAACAATAATTTTTTTTATTATGAGGAACACCAAAGATTTTTGGTTGAGCAAAAAAAAAGGTTTGGGGGGTGGGAAGAAGGCAGTGGCGGATTTAGGGCAGGGCGAGCGGGGTGGCTTCCCCGGGCCCTGCGCTTCCCGAGGTCCCACGCATGTGCCGTGGCACATGCACCGTGTCAAAGGGTGGCCCCCGCGAAATTTCGCTGCCCGGGGCCCCGCAGCGCTGCCCTGGACCCCGCGGCACTCTCATCTGCCCCTGGAAGAAGGGTCAGGGGAAAGTTATCGAGGAAAGAAAAAGGTCAGGGGGGCCATTTTGATTTCTGTTTTTCTCCACGGCACACCTCCGACTGCCTCAGAACACAGTTTAAGAAACACTGCTCTGCAGCTTGAGATATGAAGCCAGCTGGCTCTCAGCCTAGGCTGAAAAGCTTCCTTGCTCTTATCGTAAGTGGTCTAAGTGCAAGCACATGGGACAGTGACCCACACTAGGTGTGTGGGTTACATACTTCCCCTAGCTGAGGAATCACATCCCAACCTTCAGAGACCCAATTGAAATCCTGGATAAGCTTCTACTTGTAATCACCACCAGATGGATTTGAACCTGGGATCTTGGGGTAGGAGCCACTACAGCTAGAGCTATGAAGCCAGCTGGCTCTCAGCCTAAGCTGTAGAGCTCCCTTGTTCTTATTGCTTGCTGTACCTGATGTAAGTGCCAACACATGGGACAGTTAACCACACTTGCTTCAGAGAAACCTACTTCGCTTTCACTCTGAGCCATTTGCTCTGTGGAGGAAGAAGGAGTTGCCATTGAATGAAGAGTTTTATAAAATGGAGAGAATGCTGAACTAAATAGCAGAGAAGAACTTGGTACATGTCTAGTAAAGATACCATAAGGCTGGCTTGGAGAATAGGGGACATGGTTTCAGTGAATGAAAACCCTAAGTGGGTTGTGCCAAAAATGTCTGCTCCTGTCTTATTCAATGGAAATAGTCAGTGAAAAGCCCAACACACAGAATTCCAATCTAGACCACAGTTTGTGGATGTTAGGGTCTAGAGTCAGGCCCTTTTCTAGTGATAATAAACAGAGGTGGAAGAAGTAAGAGCACAATCAGTAGGTTCCATTTCAGGATAGGCAGCCATGTTCTCATTTACCTTGATTTAGAGTAATGGGACAAGCTCCATGAATTAGCAACCCTAAAATATCCAAGGTCATCTTCTACCACTGCTGCTTCCATGATCTGTAGATTGAGAGGGTGCATCTACACTGCACCGTAGGTCGAAATAAGCTACACAATTTGAGCTACGCAAAGTGTGTATCTTATTTCGATGTTATTTCAAAATAGCTTGTTTTGTAATTTGGCACTCTCTACATATGGAATGAGGTTCACAGGGATGTTGGAATAGTGAGCCCATTATTTTTCAAAATAACAGGCTTGCTGTTAAGACATGGGGTAGCTATTTCGGGATACCTCAGGTATCTTGAAATAGTGCTTCATTGTATACATAGCCAGAGTGTCTGAAAATTTATTTTCCTGCTAAAAACAGCAAGACTTAGGCTAGGTCTACACTGCAAAGAAAAGTTGGAAAAAGATACGCAAATTGTGAACCTAAATTTACATATCTTTTTCCACTTTTCTTCCGAAACAGGCTTTTCCGACATTTGGCCCATTTACACAGCACCAAATTTTGGAAAAAATTCCTCTTTCAGCACATCCCTTCTTCCTCACAGAATGAGGATTACAGGGGTGGCAAAATAATGCGTCCACTTCTTTGGAAATTGTTCCGAAAAAGTGGACGTGGTCCTTGGATTCAGCAGAGGTTTTCCAGGATACTGGGGGTATCCCGGAAAAGCTCTGTAGTCTAGACATAGCCTTACAGAAATACTGACTCAGCAAGGTGGTATGACAATAATAAAAATATATTAAAAATATATATTTAATAAAAATATATTAAAAATAAAAAGAGATGCAAGAATACAAAGGGTGGAGGAGTAATTTCCGGTACCCTTCAATAGACTGCTGCTGGAGTCTCCCTTGCTGTGTCCCTGTTACACCATGAAGCCTCTAATTCTGCAGCAGGCTGCTCAAGGGCCTTCCTGTCGAAGACAGCTTGCAGTACAGTGGGATAAGTTAGCAGCTCTACCTGCCTTTTTAACATGAGCCAAGAGATCTTTCATGTAAGCTGCTCCAGAAAGCATCAGAATGGACACTACTAAAATAAGAAATATCATCTGTCTGTTCCCATCTTCATAATTTTACTTGCTGTCTCTTAGCCATATTAGAAGTGTGTAAGAATCATCCCCAACTCAGCTCTCAGTAAGACAGTGACACGGAGATCAGGATGGCCACTTTATATGGCTTGATCTTGCAGTCGAAATTCTTATTGGGTTCAGTGCCTCTGTTGTTTACTGTTAAGCTTTTGCCTATGTACTGGCTGTTGGACAGGGACCAATCCCATTGATTGCCATCTATAGGAATAATTATGGTTTGGATGTTTGTTGATGATTGAAGCAAGATCCCTTGAGTTTTTTAACTAAAATAATAGAAACAGAGAAAAGGATGTTGCACAAAGGTGTAAAAAGGCTGTCCGGTTCTGAAAGACACTGAACTCTGACTTCAGAGAAAGTAGCAGTTTAGGGTTGGGTCCAGAGGAAGAGAAATGGACAACTGGTACTAGTGAACACAGGCCAGTTCTTACAGTGCAGCCAGAGAGTACCCAGAAGAAACAAAGGTGCCATTTCTACCACTTCTATCCTGGCCTGTCTAGTCCCTGATCTGGACCCCTGCTGCAATTTCTTTTGGCTGTTGAGGACCCTGCAGGCTATTTTACCAGCTGGAGATCACTAAGGTGCTGGAGGGATGCCCTCAATCATGGTAAATGAGGAGAAAAAAATATGAATGGAGGAAAAAGGAATGTTCAGTTTAGTAAACAGTATATATTAAGAATTTATCTTTTCCCTTGTCTCTCTGTACTGTGACTCCTTCCTTTGGTTCTGTATGAAAGAACAGTCAGGCAAAATAACCATACTGGGATTCCTGGTGCCCTTCAAATCTACAACTTTCACTCTGCAATGAACTTTGAGGTATAGGTAGTGTTGCAAACCCATGGCATCCCAAAGTGCCACTATGCTGTACACTGTGGCTACCTGGCATTTCACAGAATTATAGATGTGCAGGACTGGAAGATTCTCTGAGAGGTCTTCTAATCCAGCGGGTCTTCTGAAAGTGGTAAAATCTGGAATGGGTGAGAGCCACTGCTCTTATCCAGTCCCCTGTAGTAATGGCAGGACTAAGTATTATCTAGACCACACATTGGCAACCTTCGGTGCATGCAAGGTGATTTTCACTTGCACGTGAGCCTCCCCCCCCCCACCGCTGATCTGGCATGCGGAGAACATTAGCCCTCTACCTCCCTCCCTCCTGTCGCCTCCCTCCCCCGAAGAACATAGGCGCTCTGGGCACTTTCCTGAGGCAGTGTGCAGTTTACAGAGTCCAGATCATTTTTCGAGTCCTGGTGAACCCACTGTGGCTGCCCCACCACTGCACACAACATGGCTCCCTCCCTCCCCCAGTGGGATTGCACCCTGGTCTGGCTGTGCTGTCACTTCCTCCATCTCCAGGCAGCGGCTGCCACTGCTGGGGGTGGCATGGCAGCTGGGTCTGAGGTAAAACCTGGTGGAGCTGATCCCAGACCTCAGCGCCTTGGAGCTGCCACTTCAGCCCCGGGAGGGGCCATTGCAACGCAGGGCACACTTGGGCTTGGCAGGTGTGCTCCATGCACTGCTGCTCTCTCCCCCCTCCAGCTTGTTGGGGGAGCAGCAGCACGTGAAGCCACCCACTCTGCTGCTCTCTGCCGTGAGCTGAGTCTGGCGGGGAAGGTCAGGGCTTTCTTCACCTCCCACCGGATGGCCTCTGAGTGGGAAGCCAGAGCTGGGACGGCTGTGTGGGCTCATTACACAGTGTGTGTGTGTGTGTGGGGGGGGGGTTAGCTCCCTTCCACTCCCCATGCCGCTGGGGGAATGGCAGCACAGTGACGTGTGAGGCTTTTCCCACTGCCAGGGGGTGCAAAGTCAGGTATGTGTCCCCCCCCATGCACAGACCCCCACATCCCAATCATCCTCACTCCCTCCCT